AGGTACAATATCAACGGTTTTCCCGGCTCTGGTGGTGACAACACGGGCGGGTTCTGTAAATATTTCTTGATCTGTTCAAAAGCAGCTTGGCATTGGCAGTCCCATTGGAATTCCTTGCCTTTCTTCAGGAGACCAAAAAGTGGTTCACAAGTCAAGGTTAATTTCAAGATAAACTGTCTTATGAATTGCACTTTACCCAGAAAGCCTCTCACCTCATTTTCAGTCCTCGATGGTGGCATTTCTAAGATGGCCTTGATTTTGGAAGGATTTACCTCAATTCCACTTTGCGTGATCAGAAATCCCAGCATTTTTTCTGTTGTTACGCCAAAGTTACCTTCTGAGGATTTAGCCGCAACCGAAATTCTCTGATCCTTTGAAAGAACTTCTGTAAGGCGGTGTAGTGGCCCTCTCTTTCTTTGGACTTGACAATCATGTCGTCCACGTACACCTCAACCTCTTTGTGGATCATATCATGCAATATTGTAGTCACGGCCTGTTGATAAGTAGCTCCGGCATTCTTCAACCCAAACGGCATCACTCTGTAGCAGTAAGTCCCCCACGGGGTGGTGAAAGCAGTATTTTCTCTGTCTTCTGGTGCCATTACTATCTGATTGTACCCTGAGAAGCCATCCATGAATGAGAGCAAAGCATGCCCTGCTGTGAAATCCACCAACTCATCAATATGCGACAAGGGAAAGTCGTCCTTCGGAATAGCTCTGTTTAAATCCCTAAAATCCACGCATACCCGGATCCTGCCATCCTTCTTCGGCACTGGAACGATGTTGGCCAACCAAGTCGGGTATTCGGACACTAGCAGGAAGCCTGCGCCGATTTGCTTGGTGACCTCTTCTTTAACCTTGAGGGCCCAGTCCGGGCGGATCTTTCTGAGTTTCTGTTTGACAGGTCGGGCCTCGGGGTCAAGAGGGATCCGGTGCTGTACAATCTCAGGATCGATCCCAGGCATGTCTTCGTAGGACCACGCGAAAACATCTTTGAAATCTTTTAATAAAGCGACTAAGCGCTCTTGTTCCTCCGAAGACAACGTGGACCCGATCTGGACCAGCCGCGGGTCCTCCTCAGTACCAATATTCACGGTAATGATTTCATCCGTTAAGGGTTTGACAAATCTCTCCTGCTCCTGCTCAATTAAGCGTTGCAAAACTGGAGGAACTTCGTCCTCGCCGTTTTCATCAAAATTTTGAAAGTCTGAGTTTATGCAATAAATTAAGGGCACAAAAAAGTACTCAGAAACCACAGCTACTTGATTCTCATTAAGCTCATCCAAATCGTCCGAATTCTCGGTTACAACAGACTCAAACGAAAACGAAAAGGACGACCTGGACATAACTGTGGCATCCGGGTTATCATCCCTAGGATTACCAGACTCAGACTCAGTCGACCTGGAACCTGATTTCGACTTACAAGATTCGGTGGAATCAGATTCCGGCTCACTACCTGACCCGGTGCTGTTGGACAAAAATCCTTCCTCGTACTGCCAAGTGAGAGAGGGTGCGATAAATGCATCCAAAATAGTTGCTGGTAGGCCCGCAGCCATTTCATCCCCGATCACGCATATCGAGAAGTCATCCCCCAAGCACTTATGGTCGATCGGAGGATCTGAGAGTAGACTCGCCAACGCTACCCCCATTTCAAGTTCGGTGCCTTCGGAATCCACTGCCTTACACTGCCCAATCTCAGCTGATGGGTTCGTCTTCTCTTTGGCAATATCATCCCCGGGTAGTTGCAGGTCAAAGAAGATCTCGAAACCTGGCATGCGCTTCTTCTCCGCGTTTAGCCATGGCTCTGGGAAGCCGCAAAACGGAAAGTCCTCCCCCTCCTGGATGAAGCGTCCGTTCAGGGTACCCTGAATGGGCCTATGCATTAATTCGAAAGGCTTCCCTGCCTTCTTTGCTCTGGCTCTTCCAGCCATCTCTTTACCCTTCCTCACCCAGTCCTCTTTGGTGGGCAGATAACCCAAGTCAAAGGTATGTAGATTGTGTGGCACTTCGGCCAATGCTGCGACGTCCTTCCGGCCGCTCCTTCCCAATCCCATCCTGGGGATGTGTTGTAACTTGTTCATGAGGTAGACGAATTGAGCACTGACGTACACCCCCTCATTCACAGCCATAATATTCTGCACCACTCGAGCCTCAGCCAAAGTGAACCCTGATAAGAACACATCCTCAGTGCCATGCTCGATTTCCAAGACTGGTGTGGACACTTCCGGCGGCGGATGGATTGATGAATTCCTGAAGACAATAGCCACCCCCTTCCCGTGAGGGTACTTCAACATCTGATGTAAGGTGGAAGAGACTACCTTGACCTGGTGTAACCACGGTCGCCCCAAAAGTAGGTTGAAAGTTACGGGAACGTCCAAGACATGGAATTCAATTTTGTGTTGTCCGGGACCAACTTGGGTCTGAATTTTGACAGTCCCCATCACTTCCCTGCTAGTATTATCATATGCTCTGATCACTTGAGTAGTCGGCACGAAGTCCGCGGGCTTCAACCCGATTGCATACGTTGTTCTGGCTGGGTAGACATTAATGGCGGACCCGGTATCAACAAGTACCACCGGTATCCACTTGTCTCTACATTCCACGGAAACGTAGAGGGGTTTGTTGTGATTTGCGCCCTCAGGCGGTAGTTCTTTGTCTGAAAAGGTTAATGCCGGGGAACCTCCTCCCGGAAAAACCAGCCCAACCAGCTGTTCTGGTGTAGTATCTATAGAGAGTTTGGCCTTGTCCATGGCAGATAAGACAACCTGTCTGTGTACTCGCGATGCCATAAGCAGTCCCCAGATGGAGATGTCTGCTTGTATCTTCTTCAGCTGTTTCAGTACAGCTTCCTCTTCGATCTGCTTTTCTTTCTGTCTCTCGGCTTCTTTGTCCTTTCCAGATGTCTCGGGTTGGTCTAGATGCGGGGGTTTGAAGTACCGCCCACTTCTTGTCATGTGATTAACCTCATCGAGGTACCAGGTGTCGTCGGGTCGATTGCTTCCCCAGTCTTCGTCTGTGTGGGCAAGACATAAGTCATCGTCTTCCCACCACATTCCGTTGGCATTCAAAAGGCACCTGTCTGGCTCGGGCATGTTTGTACTCACAGCACTTTCAGCCTGCATGCTCACAGCATCCTCTATTCTTGTGCCCATAGTACTTCCGATTCCCTCATGGATTTTGGCTTTCCCGATTCTCTCAGAACCCTATTGTTCTACCTGCGTCAGTGCAGTTTGTTGTTCAACTTTCCCTGCATTCACAATGCTTCTGTTTGGAGCAAAATTCTTTGTACCGGCGCTCTCCGGCAATGTAATCTGACTTCCGGCCCTTCCGGCCATCACTGGTATTCTCGCCCCTGCTTGGCCTTGTTCTGGTTGAAAT